GAAGTCAAATCAGTCATGCTTGTCAGATGGCCCGTGTCCTGAGAGAACGTAAGTTTAACAAGCTCGTTTTCGATGGAGACTTCACCGGAGTCTGTGTAAGCGGGCTTGGGAGCGGGCCGAAAGAACTTCTTTAGTGCGGACGGTGACTTGGCCTTTGTCGAGTTCACGAAGTAGGTGGCAAACCCTAGAGCAGGGACTTTGGCCATGAAAACAAGCTCAAAAGATGAATTGCTTTGTGTCTGGTTCTGATTTTTACGCAGCTGTTTCGTAGCATCGGAAATCGGGAGCACTTGCGTTTCAACAGCAGTACCTTGTGGACCAAACACAGCCATTGAGGCCATCGCGACTGGCAGGCGGACATACGGGGTTAGGTCTCGGGCAAGGGGATTGTAGACAGTCACAGTAAAGGATTTGCTCTCTTCAGTCACAGTACAGACACTTATGTTGAGGTGGTCGCAAAATGTCAGTTCAGGAGGCTTGGTTTCAGGGTTTTTGGCCATTAATTTTCCGAGCACATCACCAATTAACACCTGAAAAAAAAAACTGTTTTGTTAGGCCACTCGCCCAGTTGTGTAGTATTACGGTATTAGAACTTAACAGACCGGCAGGATTAGGAACATTAGTTTCTAAAGCAGCTTCACTGATTTCTCAGAGTGGAAGTGGAAAGCGAACTTTATCACCAATTTTGAGGTTAATAAAACTAATTAACAGGCAAATTTCTCTAACACTGAAACGCTTCATTGTCTGAAATCGCTGAGAGCTAATGTGTAACTTACTTTAATCAACAATTGAGTTTACGACTAACTATGCGTAAAAAAGAAAACACTCCAGCCAGTAGTAGCCTTTCACATTTCATTATCAAGCTTAAAATTCACCATCTTTATTCACTTATCCCTGCAATTTTTAGTTCTCTTAATCTTTCAGAAGTTATTCTACATCTCAATAGAAACACAGTCAGAAAAAATGTTTTCTATTTCCTTTAGAAAACACTGAAAGAAAAATAAAGAAAACTTACTCATTTATTTCATTTATTAAAATCTAAATTCTCTTTGCAATTGCTCAGGCTATCATTAACAGTTTCTAATACCAGTTGATAGAATTGATGATGTGTTAAGATGATTTCTGCAGAACATTTGAGCAATAATTGCAAAAACTAAGTTACCAAGGAAACCTCATGGTATTGTAATATTTTGAATACAGTTAAGAACTTATCAAGACTTACTCAAGCCGACCCTGTGAGGGAAAATTGAACTTGTAGTTATCCATATTTCAATTAAAACAGACGTTTCGCATTAGTTAAAAACACAATAACACGGCTTTAAGCATTCTTACGAGGTTTGACATTAACTTTCTCGAGAATGCTTGAGAATTTGATCACAAGGTCACTTAGAGAAATGAACTAAAGTGAGCTGTTTTCAATAGGAATAGCATTCCAAAAGTTACCATGTTTTGAGTAGATTTTTAGTAAATAATATTTGCACCTATTGCTCGAACTTTCAGCAGACCATCTTAACTTTTTAAGCTCTGATGCAAAACATACTATGATTATCAGTTGAGTAAGGCGCAACGGAACACACTTAAATTATGGTTTTGCCAGGGGCAACTTTCCTCATTCCAATGGTAAAAATATCGTTACCTGCAATTTCCCATTTTTTGCTGATAATGATGTCAAAGGTCAACAAATTGCCACTGGGAAACAAAGCAAGTTGCCATGACAACAACACAGGTTAACCATTAAAACCTGGTCACCAAACTCTTGTTGCACCTTACTCAACTGATAATCGTAGTACAAATTCTCCTCACAGGTCTTCATTCATTTCTAATGGTACTAGTTGGGAGAACTTGACTATAATGTTTTAGACATTAGTTTTTCCATGTTGATGAATGACTTCCTTAATGAAATAAATGCACACGCTCAAAATTCATACTTGCTTGATCACAATTGAATATGCATTTTTATTAAAAGTGTAATATTACCTGGCATTCTGTTGCACCAATGGCAAGTCGCTTAGCATAGTCATAAGCCACATGCTGCTTTGATGTACCACTGACAGCATCATGGTGCTGGGCCACACCCACTGCTCTGCGTAGAGTATCAGAAGTTGGGCCATTCTTCTTTGCAGGACCACTTATCACCTCCAGTTGCTTACAGACCTACAAAGGGTCAGAGAAGGGGTTAAACCTGAGATGACATCTCATTGCTTTTAATGCAAATTATTTACACGTAAATCAAACTTACGTTTAACCCATCGACAGCTGGAGCTTTTTGGCAAAAACACATTTTTTGGCGATTTTGGACATTTTCAGCCTGGATAGGAGCCAAATTAGCTCCAATCTACTCAAAAAGGCAATTTTAACATGACTGCATGCCTTTCTTTCCACTAGTATTGTGTTTTATGACAGTTTTTCACTCTAACTGTGAGCATTTTTGTGCATATTTCAGGCTCAATTGACCCAATCACTCTAATCTGGGTATCACTGGAAAGATCTTTTCTTCCTGCAGAACTTGAGTATAAGTGATGCAAATGTTTTAGTCAAAGGTGATGACGTCTGAAGTGGAACAAAGGCCAATGCTTGCCACATCCAGTTACGGCTGGCACAGACATTAATCATAGACCAACTAGGAGAAACACAATGTTTTCTTTTTCTGACCTCAACAGGGAATTTCCGTCATCTGCAAATAATTCTTTCACTTTCAACTTTTAGCATAGGCATGCAGGCATCTTCAGATTTTGGGGAGGGGAGGGCAGTGACCTTCTTGCCTGAAAAAATTTACCCAATGCCTGAATGTGTGATCGTTTTAATCAGGATGCAAACGCAATCAAATTGCACGAAAAACAAAAACGTTCAAAATTCCCACATCTAACGAAACTGCAATAATTATTATATTTCCAAAAATAGTTACATTCAAAGCTTGCATACTCAATCAATCAATCATATTCTATCAACAGCCTAAATACGAGTTAAATCTCAAAACTTACCAAAAGAAAAAGTTTCAAAAAAACTAACTAACTAGAAACTTTATTTTCGAGTTTTGGGAATCACGCCAACAGCATTAGTTNGGGCTACAGCCCCCCTCGCCTCCCCAGCTCGTACGCCCACAACTGTATGGCTTTCAGTTTTGTCACCAAACAATACTTAAACCTACTTAAGGATTACCTGAAGCAAATTGTTGTTATATCTGACATATCGCTTGAGTGCTGGCCGGCTGGTGAAGTAGCCAGTCCAATAACAGTGAGGACAGTCTGCATACGGAAAGAAGTCATCAGTCTTCATTTCCCATGTCTGGTTAGCCTTGTGCAGAGCATCTAAGTACATGGTAGGTGTGGAGTAGAATGCATTCACTCGGCCATCCTACAAAAAAATATATGAATTAAATAGAATCAAACCTAACCTTCAAAAAGTAAAAAGTAACCTTGAGTAAAACAGGTGCCTAAACATCAATACAAGTGGGAGACAGGTAACGGCCTGCAATGAACCACTGGTAAACTCGTCCAGATGAGAATATTAGTATCAGTGAACATCAAAATAGAATTTTTAAACATTTTTCAAGATATTTTTACCAGGGTTAGTAGACTTACATGTATTTAGACCATATGAAATAAAATCCATGGCCCTCTTCACAATAAAAAGGTCACACTACAAGACAAATCCTTTTGTTGTAAAGAGCATAGGAAATTAAGATTATATAAGTTTCATTTTGCTTGTGTCAAGACCTCATTTTCCATTTCTTAACACAACTTATCACAATTTTCTGGGATAATTTTTGTAACACTGAAATTCCATGACCAGTTCAAATTCCATTTCTAGAGTTCACACTTGAGGTGGTTTCACCAAAAAATGCTTTAAGTAGGGCATGTTTATCCCATAAAACATTTGGCACGTACAAAGTAAGCAGTAACAATCAAATATTTACAGATTAACAGAGGAAAAAAAAAACAAACAAGTAAACAATAAACAAATAACAAAACAGCAACCTGTACTTACGGCATTTACATATTTAATAAGTTTGTCCAAATTTTTGTACCACAGGTTAGCATTTTCGTACATGAAATCAGAACCCATCGTCAAGAGGATGTGCTTAGTTTTGTAATGCAAGGCTTGTGCGTTTGTTATTGCCACGAACTTATCCACGGTTTCCTGAACATTGACATCAAAAAGCCTTGGGTCGTCTTGTATTGGGGGATCTGTACAAAACTGATCGAAGCAAAATCCCTTGGGGGGATTGTAACCATTGTAAAGCACACCAGTGAAAATGTCAGAGGCTTGCCCAAGATTTCTGCTCCCTCTCCAGACCAACTCCATTCTCTTTTGCTCGAGGCGAAGACTTTTGTCCGCGTAATCAATACGACCGAAGAAAAATCCATCGAATGACATCTGAGCAAATAGAGATGCTTGTTCGGACGAGTGACCAAATGGATCGATGTGCCAAGCTATGCGAGGTCTTGCATCCGATCCAAATGTCTCCTGCACGAAATTCAGTCCATAAGTCATTTGATCAATGATCGCATTGTAATGTGTTGCCGCCTCGTCGTTCATACACCATCCAGCGTTAATAAACTCCAGCCTTTTCTCTTTAACCAGTTTCTTCACTTCC